CTGGGATAAACATATATTTACTGTCAATCAATATTTCTCTTAGTCCAGCTGTATTTTGTAAGATCCAGCCCAGGGGAGTTGAGACTACCCTTTCAAAAACTGATGAAGCCTACCCTTTAGTAGGGTGGGTCAGAGAGCTTTTTAAACTGCCTTTTGGGGGTTTGAAAATTCTCTGTACCTCTGACTCCTTGGACAGAAGGGCCCTGGACAGAGCAAGTTGTTCTAGCATTTGGGCAGCACTAAGACAGGACAGCTTTCCACAAACACATTTGTTCCCAACCCCACTCCATGGAAGGAGGAGGAAGCACATATCCCCCTTGTCCCAAAGGCCCCAGCCAGCAAGCTGGGACCTGCTTATAGCATATTGGTGCTCTGTTTCCTAGGACTGCCCTTTTTGTGGTCTAATGTCTTTTGCTGTGCTGGATCCTGGAACAAAACTATTTGTGCTTTTGTTGCTTCCAGCATCTCTCCATCTATAGTGATGCTCCCTTTCTGGCCCCACTGTGTATCTCAGGGCCTGTCTCCAGTTAAACTGAAGGGACCACCCTGCTACTCACACTTGCTTTAGGATCCTATGCCTTCCCTGAGTCTCTTCTTTTTGTATTGTCCCTCATCCCTCAAACCCCATGAGTTGCACTTGGGCTGTGTGCCAGAAACATTACTGGGCAGGCAGTCTGGTGGATGACTGAGAGGCACAGGTGGCTAACCCATGTAGTCTGTGAATAGACATCATGTGTAATAAGGGCCATAGCATTTAGTGCTGTGGGAATAGCCAGGGTGAGCAGCTGGCTGTACCTTGAGAGGCAGGGAAAACTTAACCAGCAGCTGGATGTTTGAGCATCCATAAAGGACTTGCCTAGACAGATCCATGAGCTAATTAGTGGGAGAATGGGATTTACAGCCAAGGAGAATAGAATGCATGAAAGCCTGAAATTGCATGATATTCTTAGAATAATACAATGTGATATGAATGGAACAGAGGGAATAGTTTTTTTGGAGTTGAGGGTTCATGAATAGCAGAGGAAGGAAATGAGTTCAGGGGGGTAAACAGAGATCTATTCACAATGACCTTGTAAGCTGTACTTTGTATTTTAGACTTTGCGCAACTAGTGCTGAGAGACTATGAAGGGTTTTATATAGAAGCATGACATGGTCAGACTCATATGTAGGGATGGTGGGATGCCTGGCTGTAAGGGAATGGATTGTCCTTTAGCAATTATATATGACAGATGCTATTGTCTGATTTTTATTCCTGAGAATATTTTTATTCCTGAGACCCTAGAGGTTAAATGCTCTGCCAAAGGTCTCAGAGGCAGAAAGCCGAGGACCTAGGCTTCACCTGGCTTCTTGGCTCTGAATCTCATTCTCCTGGGCACATCACCATTGTTAACAAAGTCCTGTAGAAAGCTGCCTTCAGCCAGATGGTGGATAGATGCCGACAGGAGCAATATGAAGCAAATGGTCATTGATACAATCTTGTTGAAGGAATGTAGCACTGAGATTGTGTAGCCTGTGTTGTTCAGTCTCCTGACCTTGAAGCCAATGGAGAGAGAGCAAGAAGTAGTCAGAAACTTTGAGCTGCAAGCTCTATATTGGCTTGACAAGATCTATTTATCACATCTCACTCATAAATTCAGAGGAGCATCTACTACCAGATGCTGGCATTTGTCAGTGGCTTGTTTGTGGAAGTCCCTGGTCCTCGAGGCTGGTCAGTTTGGTAGCCAACAACCCCAGGGTGAACCATGGCAGACAGAGGTAGATTCTTTTCTCTACATTTTTTAAGTAAAATAATCTTTTCAAAAAAGCAAAAATAATGTGATACAGTGGTAAAGAACACTAAGTTAGAGCTCAGGCAAACCTGGCTTTGATTCTACTGCTGCCACCTTAACTAGCTGTTTAATATTGAATCTCAGTCTCCTTATCCCTAAAGTGAGTAAAGTCAAACCTACCTGAAAAGATTATTATGATGATTAAAATGTGATAATTTTATAAAATGCCTTTGTATAATATCTGGCACATATGAATCCTCAATATATGATACTTTTAACTCTTGCTCTTAATACTACAACCACCACCACTACTGCCACCACAATTAAGGGGCATTTGGAAAATAGAAGAAAAAATATCTTATAGTCCAAACGTTGTGATACAATTACCCTGATAATTTAATTATATTTCTGTCAAATCTTCTTTCCCCATTATTTCTAAATATACCAGATTTTATAGCTAGGCAAGGTTTTGTTTGCTTTTTTCTATGGTGGCAACTGTATTACATTGATGTTTTCTTAATTTTTAATAGATTTTTCTAGATTTTAAGAATAGTGTGTAGAATTGAGGGACAGTGGTATCTGCCTGAGATCCTAGCCATTAGGAAAGTGAAGCAGGAGGATTACAAGTTTAAGGCTAGCCTCAGCAACTTAAGGAGGACCCATCTTGAAATAAAAAATAAAAAAAGGCTTGGGGATATAGCTCAGTGGTAGAGTGCCCCTGGGTTCAATATCGAGTACTGCCTCCCCAACAACAACAAAAAAAAATAGTGTGTAAAATTCAGAGAGTATAGAAAAGTAAAAAGAAAACAACCATACTCATAATGCCGATCTTATCCTCAAACCAGAAGAAATCATTGTTAACATTTTGGTGTATCTCCTTTCAGCCATCATTTTTATTAATGTTTTATTATGGAATTGAGACCATATTTTATATACACACACTTTTTTAGTGATTTTTCAGTTTACATGATATGATCATGAGTACTTCGCTATTATTCTAAGCATCATTTTCCCAGGCTGCTTAATAATCCTGTTGATGACTCTGTCATAGTTTACAAAAACACTTCATCATTATTAGACATCTAAGTTTTTCCCTATTCATTAGTCTGTAATGCTTCCCCTTAACAGACCTAGGGAAACAGTCACAAAACAGTCAGAAAAGTTATAATACACTCGTGCTATGTATATGGCTCTGGGTGAGACACAATAGGAGCCCTCAGAGCCAGCCTCAAAGGAGCTCAGAGATGAAACAATCTAGAACTATTTACTAAGAGTAAAATATATAGGGCGTTTTTGCCAGAGCTCTCAGAGAGACCATAAAAATGTATGTAGCTTTTTCCCTGTGGAACCTGGGATCCGAAAGGCACAGTTTATATACAGGAAGAAGCCAAGGAAACTTTGTTGCCCTTTCTCACCTATTAATATATAGATGGCCTCCTGTGTTCAAATGCCCTCTGAGCCAGTTACCTTAGCTGCCAGGGCTTTTGCTGAGAATCTTTGAATTTACTTCCAAATGGTTTTTACTGGGGAACAAATAGTGAGAAGCATCAAAAAAGGAACTCTTGTGAAAGTAAAGAGAGTCAGACTGATTCTAGTCTAATGGTTTTTTGTTTGTTTTTAAATTTAATTTAATTTTCTTAATTGACAGATAAAATTGTATATATTTATTATGTACAACATGATGTTTTGAAGTATATATACATTGTGGAATGGCTAAATCAAGCTAATTGACATATGCATCACCTCATATTTTTGTGGTGAGAAAATATTAAAATTAACTCAGCATTTTTCAAGAATATGATACATTGCTATTAACTATAGTAAATTGAAACAATATGAATGAACCTGAAGGACAATATGTCAAGTGAAAGAAGCCAAGCACAGAAAGACATATACCACATGATCTCACTTGTATGTGGAACAAAAAGGTTGATACAGAGAAAGGTTGAAGTAGAGAAAGGAATTGTGGTTCTAGTCTTGGTTTTTGACACAGTCTTACTCTGGGACCTCAGGCAAGTTCTTTCCTTTTTATAAGCCTCTGTTGTCCTCCTGGTAATATAGATGATCTACCAGACCCTCCCCACATTAACATTCCAGAGTACCCAAAACCTTCTTCTTGCTAAAGTGAGCATCCTGATAAAATTCAGAGGATGCTTCTCCAGAGTCTAGAGTTTCTCTTAATTATTACCTTTTATATCCCCAGTTATTTCCTCCTGGTAACAGTTGGAACAAATGGACACTGAAAGACAAGAAGTGGCTCTCCCTGGTTAGAAACACTAGATTCAGAATCCTGAACCATTGTATTTTATGTATTATATATTTGTTCTCTTAAGTACTTTGTACTTGTATTCATTCTCTATTTAGCAGATGTTAACTGAATCCTGGGCTTTGTACAGTTCATTTGTGTAATACAGAGATGAATGAGACTCAACCCTGTTCTCAAGATGTACATAGTCTAGTGAGCAGACAGCAAAAAAGATGCTAAGGGCAATAGGATGGTTGCTGCAATATTATGCTATGTATAAGAGCAAAATGACGGGAATGCTGAGTTTGCCTAGAAGCCACAGCAAAGGAAGTTTCTGTAAATGCTTTGGGGTTTTAAAGAATGAGTAGAAGTGTTTTAGGTAGTCAGTAGGTGGAGAGGGCATTCTGGGTAGAAGAACAAGCATGTGCAAAGTCCTAGAGGTGTAAGAGAATGTGTCGTGTTCAAAGAATTGCAGATAGTTTGTGTGACTGGAAGGTAAAAGGGAGAGTGGGCAGGTGCAGAAAAGTCAAGCATTTCTCCTCAGACCAGTCTGTTTCTACAGAATTCTTTGCTCATTTTATCAGTCCAGATGAGAGAGATAGTCTTTTTAGTTTGGTTTTCAAAAGCTGTTATCTTTATTGCCTTATCTTTCCATTTTTAAAGTAACATATGCTCATTATAGAAAGTTTAAAAAATACAAAAAAGTAGGAAGAAAAAAATTCACTGATGGTCTGACTGGCTAAAGACAACTCTTTAACATCTTGGTGCATTGCTGTTCAATGTTTTTTTCACACTCTCTTTTTATGTAGCTGTGAATAAGTTGTAATTATAGTTTTAACCTTTGTATATGGTGCCTTTCTACTTCTTCCTAAAATTTGCCAAAAATGGATGTTAGTGTCATTAGAAAATAACTGTGATCATAAAATAATCTGGCTGAAATATCTATATATTTTCTTTTTCTAAGATAACATAATTCTTTTTAACAGGTTTCTTGTGGCTCAGAGCATAATTTGGCAGTAATTGGTAAGTAATTTTTATACTGATAACTGTGTTTGTTCTGAAATTCATGTAACAGAATTGGAGAAGACTCTTGGTTAACCAAAAACTAGGGTGCATATGTGTGTGTATGTATTGGGGAAGACTTGGGGAATAGAAGTCTGTGGTTGACCAAGAGTTGACAAAAGGAGCCCCTTTTCTGAAAAGTTCAATCCACATCATTGGTCATCTTTTTAAGGTGCCCCAGCTGCCCTATTTGCCCCAGGAAGTAGCATTTGAGGACCTTAAAGAACTTATAGCCGCAGGGCATTATTTGTGGATAGCCAGACATAAAAAGGGAGAGTGGATTGTGTGGCTTCTGGCTCTTTGAATAAATTTCTTCTTCCAAGTTCTTAGTTTGATTCTTTCTTGGAAACAGGGGCCTTTGCTTACTGTCCTCACTGCCTTGTATTTGGTAATACTTGGGACCTCACAAGCCTCTGGTCAATTGAGACTTCCTTTTAGCTGGCTCTGGATGACCCATGTTCAGTGTTTTCCTTATTAAACCTGTGAGCAATTCATTCAAGAAGCCTTTTCATTTTGTTCACAGGTATATTCAGTCTTTATCTCACAGTACATTAGAGAGACTATAATGTAGACTACAACGTAGAGTGCCCAAGTTCAGTGCAGGCTTTTACTTATTACCAGTGTGAACTTGCACATTATTTAATTATTCCTCATCTTTAAAATGAGGATAACAGTAATGCCTACCTCATAGTATTATTCTGAGGGTTAAATGAGCTAATATATGCAAGGCTAACAGAATGGCACTTAGCTCCTAGTAAGGGCTTTAGAAATGTTAGGTGTTTGTACCTGATATTATTAGTTCAAGGAATTGCCCTTCTTTAGGCTTTAGTTCCCCATCTGTAAACTGGAGGGCATGAAACAGAAAACTAAGTTTTTCTCTAGCTCTGATCATTCGGGACTTGTTGTAGCATCAGTATTGCCTGCCTTGTGTCAGGGATTTCTGTTCGTATTTCTCTTTCCTAGCCGCTGACTTGGAATTTCAGAAAGGCAAGGCCCCTGTGATTTTCTTTTATTTCTTATTTGGTCACCCCACTTAGAACAGTGCCTGGCTCTCAGCAGAGACTCAAGAACTCTCAAATTGAGTAGATTGGTGTAGCTGCCTGGGGTAGTGGTAGTTTGAGGCATTATTTCTCAAGCCTACATATGATGTGCAAAGAGGCAGGAGCAAGGAGGCAAAGGAGGGAGGTTGCCTGCAGCAATGGAGAGTCAGAGGGGCTGGAGTCGAAAGAGCTAGAAAATGTAACAGCAAACCTGCATGCTTTGCAGCAGTACCAGACACTTTCTACTGGAACTGCTCCAGCCTGGGTATAATTAAGACAAGCTAATCAAAGAATCAAAGGATGTTATTGTTGCTGCTGCTGCTGGCACTGAACTGGGAGAGGGTAGCTTCCTTTGGGACTAGCACAACAAGAAGATTGAAGGCAAGCTAAATACAGGGAAGCAGTAGTTCAGACAAAGGAGGGAGCCAGTGCTAGCAGAGCACAGGGTGAACTGACATAGGCAGCCTGGGGCTGTAGAAAGAGCGAAGAGTGCAGTAGACAGCCTTGGTTCAAACCTGCTCCAGCTGTGTGTGTGAGCTTCCCTTCTGCACTCATCTATGTAATGGGAATGATAATTTCTCCTTGCAGAATTGTTGTGAAGATTGGGTGAGGTAAAGTATGTGAAATGCCTAGCATATATCTCTTAGCTACCTTTGTATCCATCTATCCATCTATCTATCCATCCATCCATCTATACCATTTTTTCCATTTCCCATTTCCCTTGGTGGAGTGGGAGAAGGGAGAATCATTTATCAGTGTAATTATTGTAGTGAAGTATTTCTTTGTTGGGAGAGAGAAATGAGACATTCTAGAGAGGCATGTCCAGTGTTACCCAAGTGAGGCCATCAGCGGCAGTAGAACAGGACATACTGATACGCTCAAAAGCAGATAAATTTTTTTGTTTTGTCCCAAATGCTCAGGGCCTGGCTTACAGTCTGTTGAATTGATGTTTCCAGGGTGAGGAAAAGTGGGCCTGTCACCTGACAATGAGCTGGGAGTCAGAGGCTCCCTACTACTGGAGGAATGTGGCCCCCAGTGGGTGCACTGCAGTGTACAAGCTTTGAAACCTAGAAGTGACAAGAAGCTGCCTATTAGCCTCACAGGAGACCAGCAAGAAGGAGAGACCCCAGAGGAGGAGAAGATTCTACCAGCTTAAAGCTATTTCTCACAGATAGCTCTTCCCCTCAATCCTGTTGCTATTGCCCACTTTAGACAGAATTCCCTGCCTTCAGTTTCACTCTCTGAGCTCTAGCCCTTCAGTGCCGGGTGCTGTATTCCGCTTGTGATGGGCACAAAATAGTTATAGAACAGACTAGAGCAGAATATCAAAGAAGCCAAACTTTGCTGAAGGGTAGAAGCAGCTTGGGTTAGTCAACTTTGTCACTATGACAAAATATCTGAGACAACCAACTTTAAAGGAAGGAAGATTTATTTTGGCTAGTGGTTGCAGAGATTTTAGTCCAAGATCCCTTAGTCCCATTGCTTTGGGGCTGTGGTGAGGCAGAACATCATGGCAGGGCTGGACACAGTGGCATAGGCCTGTAATCACAGCTACTTGGGAGTGTGAGGCACGAGCACTACAAGTTCAAAGCTAGCCTGGGTAACCTAAAGGGACCCTGTCTTAAATTAATAATTAAAGCCGGGGGAGGGGGGCAGTGCATTGGGAATGTAGCTTAGTGGTAAAGCACTTGCCTAGCATGTGGGAGGCCCTAGTTTTAATCCCTGGTCACACACACACACACACACACACACACACACACACACACCCCATTGCAGTGGGCATGCAGTAGAGCAAAGCTGATCTCCTCATTGCAGCTAAGAAGCAGAGGGGAAGAGAGCACTTTTGTAGCAAAGCCCCTCCCCCCAAACCCACTAAGCTATGAATCCATCAATGGATTAATGTATAGATGATATCAGAGGCCTCATGATCCAATCAATCACCTCCCAAAGCCTCACCTCTGAGCACTGCTGCAGTGGGGACCAAACCTTCAACATATGAGATTTTGGGGAACATTTCAGATCCAAATCATAACACAGTGTTAATATTTAACAAATATAGTATAGATGAATCAGCCTAGAAAGAGAGTTAGAAAAGGGTGAAAGGACATGATTTAGAACCTACTCCCTGTCTCAGAGAGTGGGCGCAACTCCACAAAGTAGATTTGTTGTACCTGTTTTACAGAGAAGAAAACTGAAACTCAGAGGTTAAATGGGTTAAACAGTTCACCCAGAGATAAAGAGCAAGTAAATGGTAGACCTATCTGCCTGACTTCCAAGACTGCTCTTTCTACTCTGTCATTTCCTATGGTCTGAAGCAGTAATAGTAGGTAGTAGTTAAGAAGAACACAGGTTCAGAGTTCCTGAATTCAAATTCTGCCCCTTTCACTTGTGAACTGTGTACCCTCATAAAAGGTAAATGGCTTAACCTCTCTGTCTTGATCACCTCAATTGGCTTTCATATATGTAAAGTAATAAGAACAATGCCTGACACAAAAACAAAAGCTGAGTAAATGGTTAGTTGTTATTATTGTTTTATATTAAAAATGCAAGGGAGGTTCTTGCTCATCTGGCTGGTTCATTGGTTTTGCTTCTTTCTTTTCTTCCTTTCCACCCAGGATTTCTCTCCACATCTGACACAATTTCCTGATTGATTTTCATTTGTGGATATATGCTGAAGTCAGCAGAGGTGAGCCTTGGGATTGTGGCCACCACTTGCTCAGAAGATCCTGCCTCCTAAAGGCAGTCTCTCCACATCCAGCTGTTTTTAGGTCTATCACTTTCATGTCTAGCTGGATTGGCTCCAGCTGTTTTCTTGCCCAAGGAGCAACTTATTTTGGTCCAAATGGGTAATTTGTTTGCCTTTGCTCCTGATATGCAGTTGTTCAGCCTCCCCTTCCTGTAGAGGAAAAAGAGCTGACTGTGTTGCCTCTTTCCCCACTCCACACAAACCCTTGTAATGACTTCATTGGTGGCCTTTTCCTGGAGCACTAGGGCTTGCCAGATAGAAAAAAATGAAGGGTGGATATTGACTGGAAAATTTGATTCTTCCTCTTCCTCCATGCAAAGTCAGATCTTTTATAAAATAGAAGTTATAGTCCAGGCATAGATTCCTCCCGCCCTCATTTTATTATTTTCCAATTGTTGAACCTTTGTACCTTTATATGTATGGCAGAACATCTGACCTTGACCTGAAAACCATTAAACAGTGTCATGTAATAATTTAATAGAGAAATAACTTTTTTTTTTTGGCACTGGTTATTCCTCTGAGAGGCAATACCTTCAAACCCCCTTGCTTTGTAGAGTGTTTTGTGGCAGGTTCAAACTTTAATGCTCCTATATACAGTGTGATAAGCAGAATATAAATGCTTCATATTATCACATTTAATCCTGGTAGCAAATTAATGAGTTGGTACTATTGTTGACCCTGTTTTCTAGATAAGGGAAGGTCAAGCTTAGGATGAGCAGTTTGCCCCACTCACATGGCACAGTTAGGAGAAATCTGTCAGTTCTTTGCACAGATTCTTCAAACCCTGTGAACTGCTACCCCATGCTGCTTCCTGCAGACGGGTAACAGTCTGGCTAGTTTTAAGGCCACCAGATAACAGTGTTTCATCTCTTCATTTCAATATTTAGTTCTCCTTCATATTGGCAAGTTCTGTATATCCAGGCTAAATCTCTTCTGCTTGATTAACCAGATAAAATAATGAAATCCATAACATTGTTTTGGAAAGCCACTTCTTTTAGGATGCATCTTTCCCCTTTCATTGAATATTTCCACTTAAAAAAATTAATGTATTTATTTAATTTTTGAATGGTCAATATATGTATATATCAAAATTAAATCTAAAATAAAAAATCTCCCTCCCATGCTATTCTCCCATCTGTCCAGTTCCCCAAAATCTCTACCACATATATAACTAA